CTGAGGCTGTGGGGAGGGAGGGAGTAAGGACTGGGAGTGGGGAAGTCCTGGGCACTGAGTCAGAGTGAAGAAAGTATTTTCAGACCCCCCACCCCAGCCCCCTTAAATAGGCCTCAGGAGAGGCCCTGAAGCCAACCTGTGCTGGAGGCTTTGGAGGAAGACCTGTGGGAATGAAGGTGCTCGTGAGGAGTGCCTGGCTGGAGGCCCAAGTCCTTGAATGCACCTCCTGCAGAGACTGAAATGCTTGGCTGTGCCCTGAGTCTGCTGAGGGGAGGGCGGTTGTCCCTTGAGGCCACCAGGTCAAGCCCTTGCTGTGGCCTGTGGTTGGGCCTGAAAAACCACACATAAGTTTTTAATGGTGAGCTGCGCTCAGCCCTTCTAGTGTATTTTCAAGAGTTCAGTAGTCGCTGTTTCCTCATTCCTGGCAGATGGAAGCCTTGCTCTTGTTTTAGGCTGTCTTTCCTTCCAAATCCAATTTGGCTCAATTTTTAAAAAAGCATTTGTTTTGAGGAAAGTCTCCAATAGTAATCACTCCAGTTTTTGGCAGGTGCTGGGGTCCAATCCAGGGCCTTGCACATACAAGGCAAGCACTGCACTCCTGAGCTACATCCTGACCTTAGTAAGCCAGATGTGTCCTGTGTTCCTTTTCCTTTTCCCAGCATGCAAGTGCAATGGGCACACCTCGCTGTGTGATGCCAACACGGGCAGGTGCTTCTGTGCCACCAAGGGCATCAAAGGGGACCAGTGCCAGCTGTGAGTACCACATGCTCTGTACCACCAGTGAGGGCTGCATGAACCCTGTGCTGTGARCTGCCCCTTCTCTCTGCCTTGTTGCTATGGACCCTGAGAATTCCTGTGGTGATTAGTTTAAAATTTTGCCCTTTCTACCTCTGACAGGTCAACCCCCAACTTGAAGGGTCTTTAGATATTTGTTATATGTGATTGATACTGACATTTCCTGGATTGTTAATTTGGATTAATCATTTTAACTTAGCAACTACTTGATTTTTGTCCCATCAGAATTTGCACTTTTTCTGAGGGATGGAGTTGGAGGAGCTGGTGTTGAACCAGTGCTGGTGTTTCTTTGGCATTCTGTGTGTCTGATAGTGAAGATGATTCTCTTGCCTTGCATATGTCCTTCTTGCTCTGCACTTCCTTTGCTGAAGTGTGTTTATCATCTTCAAGGGGAGGGCTTCAAATCTCTGTCCATAAGGATGCGGACTTAACATCAGGCAGCATTGGGTTTCAGACCTGGCTGTGCTTCCATTGAGCAGGATCTTTTGAGGCAGATCACAGAACCATGCCGAGACTCAGTTTCCCCATCTCCCAATAGGGGGAGTAGCAGTAATTGTTTTTAGTATCCTGGAGAGTTGCAACAAGAGAGATTGCTCCCAATTAACATATTCCTATCTGCTRTAGTAGAAAACCTCATGAAACACGTAGCCAGGCTTATCCACTCTCTCAGGAAGAGACTTAAGAGAGATGTGTTTAGTGTGAAAATCTTGAGCTGATATATGCAGATACATCATCATTGGCAAACTTCATTGTCCTTAAAGAATGTCACCAGTAACATGGATATTATTCAGCAGGGAATTGGTCTATGTACACTTTATAGATCATATTATAGTTTATAGGTTGTCAATTTCATGCTTCCCCAAAGCCAATATGTTAAGAAAAGTCTAATCAAAAATCAAATTTAAATTTCAGATCTAGGTTCCTTTTCACAGAAAAATTGAGAGCAAAATTAGTCACTGTTGCYCTCTATTGGGGGAAACAGCAAAGGCATGATGTGGCATGCAGTGGAGGACTTTCAAGTGTCTTCTAGAAGTTGTAGATAGAGACAAATGCCTGTCATCTCCCTGGATGAAAGGGCAGCGTCCCTGGCTCATTTGAACTGGGAAAAGTGTTTCCTGCAGCTCTCCCTCCTTCCTGTGAACTTCATAGCCGCTTTGCTTGCTAAGTTGGCTTTGTGGAGAGAGAGATGGGTTTTGTAAATTACATCTGTGGGGAAATGAATAGTTCTTTTTAAGTAGAACTTTTTTTTTTTTCTCTCCGGACTGGCAAACACATGTTTAAGCATGGTAGTTTTGTTTTTCCTTTTTTAAGTGATTCTTGATAGTTATCTCTCCATTGTGTTTAAAGAACAGGCTCAGTTTACCCAGGGAGAGCAGGAAAGTGAGCAATGGATACTTGAAAAAGGTTTTAACTGCACTCTTTGAAGAATATGTAGTCCACACAAAAGTGAAAATGTGTTTTTCATGATAATAAATATGAACTAGATTTTTTTGCAGCTGGAATTATCTCCTGTGTCTTGGTAAATGTCCATTGTTTTTTGTTTTGTTTTGTTTTGTTTTTATAATTGGTGGTGTGAAGTCCTGTCAGTGTGAAAGTTCTTGCAGACTCTGATTATTTCCTGAATAATGGAGGATTACAATAATCATGACTCAAAACTACTTGTAAATCCAAAAATCCAAGACCTTTGCATAGCTCAGTTGACTCCAGTGATCCCCATCCTCAACCCCAGGCAGCCAAGAGGCTGGCAGGGCCTGGTCCTTATCAATATAGAAGGTTGCAAACACTTTTAACAGTTTTGTTTTTGTATCAGTGTTTGTACAGTGATGATTGCAATAATTTCTCAGACTTGTAGTGAGCTGGTGAATGGCAAGGCTGGGCTCCACCACTGTCTGCCCCCACTGGACCAAGCCACAGCTAGGACTTCCCCAGGATTGCAAAGAAGGCAAGAAGAAAAGTGAAAAGGTGACCCTTGAAGCAAATAAAAATTTCAGASTTGCAGCATAGCCATACACCTCAGCCTGTGAAAGGAATAATCCAGACCCCAGACTGACTCCTGACCTCAMACAGCCCAGGGTGTTTTTCCTATCAGTTATCACTGAAGGAAACCAGGCTCTCCACCTGCTGCCCCACTCTGTCAGTTTTCTCTGGACCTCAGGACCCTGTGCAGGAGCACAATCTGTCTGGGTTTGCAGATAGGCAGACCAGCTGCCCTCCTATGGCCATCCTGAGTGGTGTCAAGAGGGCAGGGCCCAGGGGACAAGTGTTGCAAGTGTCTCACTCCCAGAATAGGGAACAAAAACTAAAGACGCCAGGCCTGAGAATAGAAGACAGGGACTCTCAGCCCTACCATCCCTGCTAAAGGGAACAAGATCACACTGGGGACCTGGTTACAGAACCTGTGAATCAGGTATCAAAAATGAGGGAATTGTGAGGGTCTTCACCTGAGCTGCAGTCTGACATTCCATACAGGGGATGGGTGGGCGCTATGGGAACTGAGGCTGCCTAGAGCCCCCTACCTAAGATCCCCCCAGCTTCAGTCACCYCAGTTTAACCCCTTCCTAGCTCTCCTTGCTATTTGTTGCAATAATTTATTGACCTAAAATAATAAACCTTACTTGGGGAAGGAAGGGCCCTCAGGGCCTCTGGCTTCACTTGGTGGAACCTGTGTGGCCAGGTGCTGAGGGGAGCCTCTCTGTACCCCACCCATCATTTGCTTTCCCTCTTCTCCAAGAGACCCCAGGTTGGGCTTTGACCCATTCACAAATACCTCAAGGAGGGGCAAAGGATGGGGTCAAGGCTGTTTTGTTTAATTGGAACTAGAAGAGGGATCATATCCTACCTAGTTTATACCCTTCCCAGAGATGGGGGCACATCAAGATTGCACCCCATATACTGGCCACCACTGTTGTCATTCATCATATTGAGTTTACTTCCCTCTAGGGTTTGGATAAATTCAGATTGAAGCTGGAGGTATGTAGCCCTCCAGTGTCATAGAAAAGCTACTCACCAACAACTGATCTCTCCATTCAGAAATGTACAGTGATGAGAACTTATTTTACTATCTTTTTATTAAAAGCTTTATTGAAAGAAAACAACAAAAACTACATGTTGATTGAATAAAAGGATCTTCTTGATTTTAAAATGAAGGTAGATTCTGTATTAAATAGTAATAGAAGATAATTTTATTTTTTTCTCTTAGATGTGAGGTAGAAAATCGATACCAGGGAAACCCTCTCAAAGGAACATGTTATTGTAAGTGTTTTTGTAATTCTCATATCTAGAAGCAGAAAGTTGGCAAAATTCCATTGTTCTTTAATGTTTAATATGGTTTGAGAATGGTAAACACTGTAGCAACATAGCCATCACCATGGAATTGTCTCCCGACTTTATGGCTTTGCCTACGAACACTATTTGAAGCTCCTTTTTTTTTTTTTTTTTTGTACTTGGGATTGAACCCAGGGACACTTTACCGCTGAACTACACCCCCAGCCCATTTTACTTTTTATTTTGAGACAGGGTCTTGCTAAGTTTTTGAGGCTGACCTCAAACTTACTGTCCATTTGCTTCTACTGTGCCCAGCTTTTGAAGCAGTTTTAATGTGGCCATGTTTATGTCAGTGTTTTTATAGCAGATAGCAGGAGCCAATACAGAGTGATTTCTTTGTTCATGTTCAGGATATAGATCAAAACATAATCCTTAAAATACAAATGAAGTTGCATMATTCTTTCTAGAGCTGATTTATGTTAACTCCAAAAATAAAAATATTTAGTACCTATAAGACCTTAAGGAACTATCTAAACTTTGCTCTGGACCTTGGATCGTTCATCTGTAAAGTGACATAACAATATTTACTTCTATTTATTTCTTCTATTTATAAATATTGGTAAATATATACAATTTGGTAAATATTGTTATGTTATAAATAAATAGAAATTTATAGTTATAGATAATCAGAAATTGGGGCACTGAGCCAGATGTTTTCCTAGTAAATGTGAACTCCAAGTGTTTACAAACAGCTGCCCATGGGATCCTGGGAATCTGGCTCCTCTGACACAGGTCCAAAGGTATAAATCACCATGCTCTACTGGTTCAATCCCCACTACCAAAAGGAAAAAACAAGAAGAAAGTTTAGTGGGTAACTCAAATAAAATGATACTGCTGAGGGACTTGGTTTCCTTTGAAAAACCTGGGTAGAGGTGAGTCAAAGTCCTTTCTTGGCTATTGAATTTATCAGAAATGCAATGGATATCTCCAGATACCTGTTCATTTTTGTTTTGTCTCAGTTTTAAATGCGTGTTTCTTTCTTTCCATAGATACTCTTCTTATTGGCTATCAGTTCACTTTTACCCTCTCCCAGGAAGAGAATCGCTATTACACAGCCATCAATTTTGTGGCCACTCCTAAGGAAGTAAGATTTTTAAAACCTATTTTGTTTTGAATTGTGTGGCTCCTTCTCTTGGTCATCATGAATAGAAGTACTTCCTTAGCAGTGGTCTCAGAGGGGAGCATAGAGGATGATGTTTAGAGGCACAGGAAAAAAAATGTAAAGAGTCTACATATTATCTCCTTTTCATCCAAAAGGTGAGAATGATGTTATGGGATTTACCAGGGCCTGATCCACAGACTGACGTTGATACCACACATACATAATATTCCTGCCAGCCCACCACAGCTCCGTTCAGAGATTGAAAGGGGAGTTCCATCATTCAGGGGCAGCTGGTGAAGGGACCAGTGGCTTCAAAATCACCCATAAAGAAATTGCTGTGTGAGAATAGTGGTACACCCCTGTAATCCCAACTACATGGGAGGCTGAGGCAGGAGGATCACAAGCTCAAGGCCAGCCTTAGTGACTTAGCAAGACCCTGTCTCAAAAAATAAATAAATAAAAGGAAGGGCTGTGGATGTAGCTCAAAGGCAGAGCACTATTGAGTTCCATCCCCAGTACCACAAACAAACAAAAACCTGATTGAAATTAATTAATGTCACGATGCAAGCATAAGGGAGTCAGCACAGGAGGTATTTGGTGACCTTCTGCTGCTGGAAGGATTCGAAGCCTCATTGGTAGGTAAAACAGAAAAAGTTTAGTTGGTCCAAAAAGACATTGACCAGAAACATTTTAAAATGGTTAAGATGACTATTTAAAATATGCATTTATGTCTATTGTCAATAATTATAAAACCCATTCTGTCTAAAGGCATTATATCCTGGTAGACAGGAGCCAACACAGCATGGTATTTAAAAGTAGAACATTCCAAACATGAAGATACACTGTTCAATTTCTTTTCTTTCTTTTTTCTTGATGCTGGGGATTGAACCCAGGGTCTTCTTCCTACTAAACTTGAGCTCTTCCACTGAGCTAAACCCCCAGTCCAATGTCCTTAATGAAGTATAAAGAAATTTTCCTCAACCTAATGGTAAGTTATTTAGTAAACTCCTTGGGGTTTCTTCTCATCAACAAACACAAAGCCATTTACCATCACTAGATTCCTATCTCAATCAACAAATTATACATGRGAAACAAGATGGCAATGAAGAAGTGTGTATTACTTTGTTATCAATAAACATTAATATATTTTTAAAAAGTAAAGAATGAAATCCATGGTGTGCCATATTTATAAAAAAATGAAAGATTTGTTTTTAATATTCCATTTTGGTGATAAAACAATCTCAAAAGTTAATACCTTTGTGTGTGTGTGTGTGTGTGTGTGTGTGTGTGTTACTCAGGATTGAACCATGACCTCACATATGCTAGGCAAATGTGCTACCACTAAGTTACATCCAATATCTTGCTTTTTAAATTTAGTATACTTAGTATACTTAGTTTTATATATATACATATTTTTTTTGTGGAGTGTGTGTGTGGTACTGGGGATTGAACTAGAGGTGCTCTAACTTTGAGCTATACCCACARCCTTTTTAAATTTTATTTTAGGCTCTCACCAAGTTGTTTAGGTTGACCTTGAACTTGCCATCCTCCTTTATTAGCCTTCCAAATTGCTGGGATTACAGATGCGCACCATCATGTACTATATATGCTTTTAAAAAAAGCACTTCTGGTTTGGGAAGAAATTTATACCATATTATAACCTATGGTATACTCAGTAGGACAAGATAAAAATATATAGAAGTTKGAAATATATAGAAATTGGAACTCTGGGTCAGATATTTTCCCAGCAAGTGTAAACACTGAATGTTTGGAAACATCTGCCCTGAGGATCCTGGGGATTCTGGTTCCTCTGCCACAAGTCAGAAGATATAAATCATTGTGCTCAACARGGCCTTTTTAAAAGGTACTTTTCCCATGCAGTTGGGCATCTGCTAAAGCATTGAATCCTATGTATATTGCTGGGAGGAAAATAATATTTTATCTGGGTTACATTGCTTATATTAAGGAAAACTRGTTAGAAATGTTGCTAACTCCTCTATAAACACAAGTTTGCCTTGAAACATTGCAAAGTTTTTTGTTATAATATATATCAAGAGCAGTAAAATCGAATTATCATTATAATGAATTTTCTACTTATTTGTGCCTCTCATCAGCAAAACAAGGATATGGACATGTTCATCAATGCCTCCAAAAACTTCAATCTCAATATCACCYGGGCTGCCAGCTTCTCAGGTAAAGACACACCTAGCAAACACACTGTGAGTGGAGGCTCTGGGTAGAGAACTGTAACATAGGAATTGGGAAAAGAGGCTCTGGAGATCGACAGATGGATTTTTATTTTAAAACCCAGTTTTGGCACATACTATCCATGAGACCTTGAGCAAGTGTCCAAATCCCTCTCTGGATTGTTCATCAGTAAAGTGATCATAACGACGTTACTTCCTAGAACAATGTAGATTATATGAAGTGAGAGCTGCTATCACCTACCATGGCTCAGGCTCAGTAGGTGGCTTCCCCCTCCTCCCTGCCCCACCTCCCCGACCACCACCACTCACACCCTTGCAGTGGCCACTGCTCTGCCACTGTCCTCAACATCCGKATCCTTGCCTCAGAGGGGAAAAATATCAGTGATTCAGTTTCAAGAAATGGAAATGTTTAAATAAAATGAGATTTTAATAGGTACAGAGAACCATACATTGGAAATTAAACCAAGCTCTGAAAGCATAGCTTTTGCTATCTGGTTTGCCTTAACTATGATTTACTAAAGATTTGATGACCCTGATGTAGTGGTTAGGACACATTACCACTGCATAACATGATGACTTGACAAATAGAGCTGCGTTTCAATTCTGCCTGTTATTTACTTGCACTGTGCTGTTGAACAAGTTACCTAGGCTTTCGAGCCAGTTTCCTTGTGTAGGAAATGACAGTAAAAACACCTTGCCATTAGAGTATTGTAAGGATTACATAAAACGATAAATGAAGTACTCAATGTAATGCTTGAACATGGGCAATTGTCACAGAATGGTAGCTCAGTTTCATCAACATCACTGCTGTTACAATACTCTTGTTTTTGACAACACAAAAACTAATCAGAATGGTATAATATAGGAATATAATATTTGCTGTCATTTGGGGGTTTATTAGGGCTTAAAAGATTTTCAGTGACCATCTCAATGAAAACATGACAGGCGGGGCTGTAGTCCCACAGTTTAACTCAACATGGAAAAGAGTGCATTTTGTGAGTCTATTTATTCACATTTGAGTTCCTGGCTGAGGGAGAATCTGGAATGTGGAAAAACCATCTGGGAACAAATGAGTTACACCAGGATGGGGACTTAGCTACACTGCTAACTGGTAGCAGAAGGCAGGACTGAGTGGCAACTTAAGCACCTAATTCCCTGTGGAGATTTGAGACCACTCCTGGCTGGGAAGTGAGAGGCAAACGGGTGTTTCTGGGTCTGGAGTATCACCACACAGATGTTAGGGGGAAATGCAAAGGAATCGAGGCATTGTTKCAGAGTGAGTGATAGCATGTGCTAACAGGACTCTGCTAGTGTCTGTAATTTCCTGACCATGTGTTCCCAGTTTCAGGGATGGTGGTGGGGAGTCACAGAGGTTCCTGGTAAAACCCTTCTGATTTGAGGCACAAGCTTGTGATTCATCCTCCCCAGAATCAAATCCAGCTGCATTCTTTGCAGCCTGAGGCAAGTTACTTAATTTCTTGGAACCTTAGTTTCTTAGTCTGTAAATAAGGATAATGGGGTTATGAGATTTGGGGAGACTGAACTCCTAAAGGCTATTCATAAGAAATTGTAAGTATTTAATAATGCTGTTCATTCTTATTAACAAGGCAAGTTCTGCCTCTTGCAAATCCACTATTTTATTTCATTTCTCCCTGACAGATGGAGCCCAGCCTGAGGAACAGATGCCTATTRTTTCAAAAACCAACATTAAGGAGTACAAAGACAGCTTCTCTAATGAAAAGTTTGATTTTTGAAACCATCCAAATGTCACTCTCTTTGTGTATGTCAGTAATTTCACCTGGCCCATCAAAATTCAGGTAAKGTATGCTTTTTGGTCTCAGGCATGCAAAGACGGTGAAACCTCTTCAGTGGAGACTAGATTCAGTAATGTGGAATGTGGGGTAAATGAAATGGTCAGCATTGCTTTGCATTTGTAAGAACTATGGCAAAGGARTGCTGGGGACATCATGTATCCCTTGTGAGAGACATTTAAAGACCCTTTTGGAAACAAGTTGACACATAGCACATTT